GCAGGGGCTTCCGCCTCGGGGAGGACGACAGCTTCGAACTCCTGGGGCCCCCCGTGGGGAACGACCGCTTCTGCGCGGAACGCACCGAGGAAAGGGTGGCCAAGGCCGCAGACTTGCTGGAAGTTCTTGGGGCCCTGGAGAAGGCTCAGGTGGCCTTGCTCTTGCTCCGCCAGTGCGCCTCCTACCGCAACCTTGGATACTCCGCACGCGTGATACCGCCGACGGCGCACACCGGCGCGCTGTAAGCCATGGACACCGCCGTCCGGGCATGTTTGGAACAACGCAGCGGGTCTACCCCTTCGGACGACTCCTGGAAGCAAGCGCAGCTCAAGCTCAAACGCGGCGGGCTTGGTTGGGCCCCGCTCCGCCGAGAAGCACGCCGCGGCAGCCTACCTGGCCTCCCGCGCCCGCAGCGCGGAACTCTGCCGACAGCTTTACGCAGCCTGCGACGACATCGACGGCGAAGACGGGGGCAGCCTGGCCGCGGCCACGCAAGCCTTCAACGACACAGTCCTTCCAGCAGGCCGGATCGCCCTTCGACCCTCGGGAAGGTGGACGACGCTGTTCGCCACGACCTGTGGCAACGCGCTTCGCCGCCGACGAGATCCCACCTCAACCTGATAACAACCCCGGGCGCCAGCGCCTACAGGCAGGCGCCGCCGTGCCCGGCACTCGGCACCGACTTTCCGCACAGCTTGATGCAAGTGGCGCTGCAACGACACCAGCTGCTCGAGGAGGAGATTTTTTCGCCCCGCGTGCGGGGAGGTGACGGGCGCGTTTGCGGAACATGCGCTCACCCGCAGCTGCCGCGGCGACCGCACGAAACGCCGCAACTGCCTCCAGAACAAGGCCTGGCACGAGGCGCTGGCCGCCGGCTACGCCGGGGCGGAGATCGAGCGAACAGGCTTGCTGCCGCCGCGCGCGCCTGGCGAGGGCCCCCCAGCCGGTGACGCCGGCTGCGACGACCTGGACGGCGACGGGAGGCGCCCCGCGGACGCCTTCGTTCCGCCGTGGCGAAGCGGCACGCCGTCGGCGTGGGACTATCACGCTCTCGCTCTAATTTCCTCACGATGAATTTGGAAACCGCGCTGTCGCTCGAGACTTCCTCGCGATTCATGCGGGACGCACGCTTCAGCAACCCGCCTGCTCGATCAGGCCGACTGGGCCCGCCTTCCGACCCGCCTACTAGGGCCTACCCGCCCGATCTACCCGTCTGGTTTTGCCATGTGCGTTCTGGTCCTAGCCCCCTCCTGCTACTCCCTCTCGTGCTCCGTTCTCCTCTCTCCCCCTTGTTCCTTCCTTCCATCCGTCCTCTCTTCCCCTGCCTTACGGGCTGCACGACATACACGTTGCGGGTAAGAAAGATATACCCCCAGGGGGTACGACCGAAGACGATGAGGGTGCCGCCAGGCTGTAGGCCTAAGGTTCGCGGTTTCCTGTACCAGTTGCAGCTTCCAGTTTCCTCTGTTACAGTTCTGCTTCTTGCTGCTTACTGTTCCTTGTTGACTTCTTGCTGCTTACTGTTCCTTGCTGATGGACCGCGCGAGGGGGTGAAGCCCAAAACAACTATTTTTACCACGCCCTGAGCGTGTGCTCTGAATTGCTGGGGTGTGTAAAAATTAACACCCATCACGCAGATCGGCGGGGTCAGGGTCCAAAAACACATGGGATTTGCTACATTTCTGAATTCGGTGGCACCCCTCACGCAGATCGGCGGGATCACGGTCCAAGAACACTTGGGTTTTGCAACATTTCTGAAATTTGCTGGCACCCCTCACGCAGATCGGCGGGGTCAGGGTCCAAAAACACATGGGATTTGCAACATTTCTGGTCGGCGGGGTCAGGGTGCAAAAACACAAACGGTTTGCCACATGTCTGAAATTAGCGACACCCCTCAGGCAGATCGGCGGGGTCAGGGTCCAAAAACACAAGGTATTTGCCACATTTCTGAAATTCGGTGGCACCCCTCACGAAAATCGGCAGGGTCAGGGTCCAAAAACACATGGGATTTGCTACATTTCTAAAATTCGGCGTCACCCCTCACCCAGATCCGCGGGGTCAGGGTCCAAAAACAAAGGGGATTTGCTACAGTTCTGAAATTCGGCGGCACCCCTTGCGCAGATCCGTAGGGTCAGAATCCAAAAACACAAGGGATTTGCCACATTTCTGCAATTCAGTGGCACCCGTGACGCAGATCCGCAGGGTCAGGGTCGAAAAACAAATAAGTCCCGACACTGCTTCACGGCGGCGCCCAGACCTCATGATTTAGCTTTTGCATCTCCCATTATCCGAGACGGGGGGCCAGCGGCATGGGGCGAAGCCCTTACGGATAATTGTTGCTGATCTCCGGAAACAGTTCCGCGCGCTCTCGCCTCGATGCCAGCTACATTTTCTCTGCAAACGAAGCTCCCGCGCGAGCGTTAGCTTGAATGTAAAGTGCCCTTGGAGGCCTGGCTACGACGACAACGGCTCGGCTCCCGCTCGATACTTCCTCACACTTTACTCCGAGGCAGCCTGGCCAGAGATGCCCCCGAACTCAGGAGCGGCGCTCTCGCTCGAGACTTCCTCGCAATTCAATCAAGTTGGTGGAGGCCCAGCCACGACGACAAGGGCTCCCTGATACTTCCGCGCGATTTACTCCGAGAGCCCCTGGCCAGGAAGGCCCCCGAACTCAGGAACGGCGCTCTCGCTCGAGACGTCCTCGTGATTCAGTCAAGTTGACGGAGGTCCAACTACGACGGCGAGGGCTCTCGTTCGATACGTCCTCAACATGTATTCGCGTAGGCCCTTGCCAGAGAGGCCCCCCAAACTCAAGAGTGGCACAATTCAGGCAAATTAGTGGAAGCCCATACACGGCGACAAGGGTTCCCGTTCGATATTTCTCAATGTGTATTCCGAGAGCCCCTGGCCTGGCCAGAGAGGCCCCCGAACTCAGGAACGGCGCTCTCGCTCAAGAGTTCCTCGCACTGCAGTCAATGGCCGACAAGGAAAAGATTCTCCCTGAAAAGGGGTGCAATCGAAGACGAAGTAGGCCGGTATCGAGGTTTGGGGAATACAGAATGCAAAACACGCGCGCCAGTAGGGGAGAATAGACTTACAATGATCGTCGTCGTTGTCGTTGTCGTTGTCGCTGTCGTGGATCCCTTCAAACTTTCTTCTCTTGAGGGGGCCTATCGTTGGAATTCTGGGCGCTTACTGGGCGGTCTTGGAAATCGCCGCATAGCTTTCCCTGGTCCTCGGGAAGGCAACTTGGAACAAGCATTCCCGACATGGTCTGAGGATCCGTCCCACACCCTTCTATGGTGCTTCCCGGGCAAACTTGCGACCCAAAATGCAACCACTTGAATCGGAAACCTTACGGCTCCATGTGATTGTAGCATGATCATCATGTCGGTCTGACGAGCGCCAAAGACAGCCAAGGAGGCCCTCAAAATCGCCCCCCAAAGATCCCCGAAGCCTCCAAGAGGGCGCAAGAGGGCCTCAAGGGGCCCAAGAGGTCGAACTTGCATTCAGAGCCCCCCGAGACCGACAAGAGGCCCCGAAGAGGTGCGCACGAGGCCCCAAGAGGCCCCCGAGAGGCCCCCGCAGGCACCCTTGGAGTCCAAACGTGCCACGTGTCCTACGATGGCCACAAGTGGCCCTTCCTGGGCCTCTCTTGGGAGCCACCTCGGCCGACTTGGGAGGCCCGTCGGGTCGTTCTCTCAGGACGCCTCGGGCGACTGGGGCCTCCAGGGTACCAGAACCGTGCGGCGACGGAGCGCGCGGTGAGGTCGCTGGGGATTCCGAGGTCACCATGCGATCCGACACCACGCGGTTGTGGGTCCCTCCCGAGCTCTCTGCACCCCCCCCTCGCGACGAGGGCCCCGGAGCTCTCCGCCCCACCCAGGGGGGACCATGCCGTGGCTCGGCGCGGGGCGCCTCCTCCAAGTCTCTCTCTTGGGGCCCGAGGACGGCCCCTGGCCGCGGAGGTCTGGACAGGACATGCCTGCCCGCAGCAGATGTTTTCCGCGGCGCTGGGGATCCAAACCTCTGACGCGCCGACTGCGCAAAAGCACCCACGGAGTCGGATGTCTTGGGGCCCAGTCTTGGAGCCGTTCTGTCGAGCCCCGGAAGGAACCTGACGCGCTCACAGCCATGGTTCCCGGGCGGCACTTCCCTGCGCGTGGAGCAGCTACGCCTCCCGTGACCTGCCTTCAGGCAGTGGCCCATGCACGGTGCATCTTCCAATCCGGGTGCGCCGACGAGGGTTGCGAGAAAACGAAGGGTTCGCGCATCACGGCCCGAGGCATGTGTGCGGACACGGGGGGGGCCAGAAGGAGGCGGCTGGGGCCACGAATTCTGGGAGATGTCATGACCCCGGCCATGAGATCCACAAACTCACACACGCACGCACACACATGCACACAGACCCATCGTTCGGAAGAAGTGGGCAGAGCCATGAAGTAGGAAGGCGTCGAAAGTATATTGGGTCTGTGCCAGACCCCTGGAAAGAAATGAACATGGAAGCCATCGGATCATTGAGATATAGATGGCGCCCAGCGCAGATCTGAATCTAGGAATCGAGCAAGTGCATACTTTCGAGGCAAGCGATGGCCAGTCCTCACTGGGGAAACCAAAAGGTACCAATACCGCTACTCCCTGGACCTCTCTCCGGGGTGCAGTTCTGACCGGCATCCCGAGGCGAATCCAGCGGCGGCGACACCCAAAAAGGGGCTCAGCCAGGGAAGGGCAGCGGCATGAGTACCTGTTCCTCCTCCTGGCACGCCGCCCCCATGGACGCATCCGACCGATCGGAGAGAAGCCCCTGCTGCTTTCCCCCGCGCCCGGGCGGCGGCGCGGGCGGGGGGCCCACACATACATACCACCACCACCTCCCTCGCCCCCCTCCCTCTCCCAGGAGAGAGGAGAGGAAGAGGAGGGCAGGGGAGGGAGGAGGAGTCGACGTGGTGGTCGTGTCTATCCTCGGGGCCCCCCGGCGGGCGCCCCCGGAGGCGGAGCGCTCAGCCCTCGTGCTCCGCCGCCTCCGCGGCCGCCAGCGGGGCCTCTGGCCCCTCCGCGCAGAGGGGCGCCCCTCTCTCGGGGGGCGGGGGGGGGGATCGGCTGCACGCTCTCCCTGACCTTACGTAGGTCGGGCGTGTGCTCCTGCAGGCGGATTCGGTAGGAAAAATGGGAGCAGAGTCAAAATATAGATCCAACAAGTCTTTAAACAAGTCTAAAAAAACGCCCCCGGACTATGTTTTGGCTACTTTTGAATATTCCTCCTGTTGAGGGGCAGGCCCGACTTAATCCCTGACCCCGCCCCCGGCTCGCGAAAAAACACGACGGAAGGTTTGGGCGATGCTCGGCCTCCCCATGGGGCCCCTGGCTGTGCAAAACTTCCGTCGCCATGTTCTCGCGACGCGGGGGGGGGCCACATGGGGGAGGGCCAGGGCCAGGGTGCGAGGCGGGGATGTATCCATAATCTTCGCCTGGGGGATCGATTTTCGGGGACCTCGGCAGGCGGTGGATACGGATACCCAGAAGACCAGCCAACGGCCGATAAGAAGGATGAGGGGGGGGAAGCAACGACGAGACAACCATCGGGGCAACCGTCTCCATCCAGCGAAGAACCTCGATCGGTCGATCGATCTATCGCTACCACGATATACCTGTGTGTGAATTGTATTCCCTATATACGTATATCGGCGTACATGCCCACATGCATGCATGCATACAGCCATACAGATTCGTGGATGTATGTCTATTTGGGTGTGTCTACATCACCGCGTACCTGCATACGTATGTACCGACATCATTCCTCATATATCGGTCTCACTGTCGATCTATCGACTGCACTCTCGGCCGATATCACTGTCAATCTGATTGCCAATGTATGCTATGTATAAATACATGCGCATCGGCGCTACGAGAGCTTTGACCCGTTTCGTGCTTCCACAAAGACAGGTTTCAGGCGGGAGCGTCATGTCGAACTCCAGCTGAAGAAGCGCCGACCTCTACTTTCGAGGAAGTCCTGGGCGGACGCGCCATTTCGGAATCGAACCAGGGGGGCGTCGAATTCCAGTTGTCAGGAAGTCCTGAGCGGGAGCGCCATTTCGGAATCGAACCAGGGGGGCGTCGAATTCCAGTTGTCAGGAAGTCCTGAGCGGGAGCGCCATTTCGAAATCGAGCCCGAAAGGCTCCGAATTCTGTCTCGGAGGAAGTCCTGGGCGGGAGCGCCATTTCGAAATCGAACAAGAAAGGCTCCGAAATCAAATTTGGAGGAAGTCTTGGGCGGGAGCGCCATTTCGAAATCGAACCCAGAAGATACGAAATCGTTGGACATTGCTTTGTTAAGAAAGTGTCCAGCGAAACCGTCCCAAGATGTCCACGCCGACATTAAAACCTGTTAAATCTCTGACAAGAGATTTCGAACGTGCCTTGCGCATGCGAATTCCTCCCCAAAGCGACCCCGACTGAATTTCGAAACCGTCGGGTTCGAATTCGAAAAGGCGGTCCTGCCCGAAAAACCTGAGCAAAACAGTGCTTGAACAAAACATGTTACTGGGGCCCAGCGGCCAAACGGGCTGCTCTGACGTCTCCGCTCTTGTCGCGGGCGCAGCGGGGCTTGGTGAACAGCGGGACCGAGCACGGAAACAGTGGGGCGGATTTCGATGCAAACGGACTGGTGCGACCCCACCTCCCGGTATCCTGAAAAGTACGCGAGGGCGGCAGGTGAGGGCAAAAATCATGATCACGAAGGGTGAAGGTCATGGCCTCGGGAGGGGCTGCAGCCATGAACATGGGGGAACTTGAGGGCATGGCCGTGGCGAAGGTTCAAATCATTACCGCGACAGGGCTGACGGTAATGCGGGAAAAAGGAAATCACGGTGATGATCATATCATGTGGGGGCGAGGTTGGTAACCGTGAGTGGGGTCTTGGTCAGGATGGTGAGGAGTTCCAGGTATGCACCGTGAGTGGGGTCATCGTGATGACTGCGAGGGAGGGGGTCAAGGTCATGTCGGATTGGCTTCCCACAGGTTGTTGGAAAAATGGTTGAGCCCTCGGCGAGGCGCAGCTGCCAGTGAGATGATGGGACGGCAGCGGCAGGTCGAGCACGCAATCCCCTTCGGAGTGGTCGTCGAACCAGAGCTCAAGCCTCATTCGCCCGTTCGGGACCATCGATGCACCCTGGACTCGCCCTCGGCGAGGCGCAACTGCAGGAAGGCATCGCGAGGTATCAGAATCAATGAATTACTGCATGAGCCAGGATCCACTATGTCGCTTCAGACACTTGTCCGAGAAAGCTCATGGCGCCGCTCGCTCTTGGGAATTTTGTCGTTAAGAGCTTTCCTTCACGCCATCGTGAGCTCCTGGGAACCTCAGTGTTAAGAGCCTTTTGCGTCACCGTTGGCCCTTGGGAGCCTCTGAGCTGAGAGCTTCTCGCGGCACCGTTCGCTCTTGGGAGCCTTGGGGTTCAAAGCTTGGTACGTCAGCGGCTCGCCTCTAAAGTGCTTGTCCGTCCCCTGGAGCTCTTGGCAGCTTTGACGTCAAAACCGCGTCCATCATTCGGCCGTCTGTGGTCGGGAGCTTTGGCATCAAAGCTGTCCCGCCACTAGGCCGTCTTGGGGCCCTGGGAGGCTTCTTGATCAGAAGCTCTTCGAGGTATACTGGGCGTCTCTTGGAGGTCTCTTGGAGGCTTTATGGGCTGTCCCTGGGTCCACTTTGAGGCCTCCAAAGCGTTTTGGGGGCCTCTTGGACCGTCTCGGGGCCCTCTTGGGCCGTCTCGGGACCCTCTTGGGCCGTCCTAGAGTCATCTGGGAACGTCTTGGAAGCCTCCCGGGCCTTCTTGAAGCCCTCTCTGACGCCCTCTTGGGCCGTCTTTGGCTCCTCTTGGGCCGTTTTCGGGAGCTCTTGAAGGCGACCCCTGGAGCAGTCTTTGGGCGATCTCGGAAGCCCCTGGGGACGTCTTGGGCTGTCGGAAGCCCGAAAAGGCGAGAACGCGCAAATCGTTCAAGCCACAAGGGGAAAGCAATGACTTTTTTTTTACCCTCGCGGCCCTCTCGGGGGTCTCCTGGGGACCTCCTGGAAGCTTATTAGGTCGTGCCGTGGCCATGTCGGAGCCATTGTGGGACTCGTTGTAGGGCGACGAAATCTATACACATCCACTGCTCCCTGGCCAGGCCCATCCTCAACCCCGCAGCGGTGTATACGCCACGCCCTCCTGGCTTGGCCAGGAGGGCGCATACACAGCTCCTGGGTTCAAGATGGGCATGGTCAGGGAGCAGTGGATATGTATAGATTTCGTCGCCCGATCGTCGCCAGGCTTCTGGGGCCGCCCGCAGCAGCAGCAAAGAGGACGTGCGGGCGGCTATAGCCAAAAGGAGGCCGGGGAGCCGTCCGCAAGGCGCCCTGCAGGGCGGGGGGGGGGGAGGCGTCGGAGGTACGCCCCCCGCAGGAGGGGCCCTCCCGAGAGAGGGGGGTCCATGCAGGATGCACAGGGCAGTTTTTTTGTACACCTGGGATTTGTTTAAAAATATGCTGCATGAACTCATCGGACGCCCCAAGAGGCGCCCAAGAGGCCCAAAAGAGGCCTCAAGAGGCCCCAAAAGGGCCCCCAAGAGGCCCCCAAACTCGGCTAGCCCACAACGGTGCGACAATATGGGCCGGCGGAATGAGCGAAGCGATTAATATGTTGCATGAACTCATCGTTGCTTTTAAAACTGAATCCCTGCAGTGTTTTAATACATGAGCCGCACGCGGAGCATGTATAAAAAAAACGGCACTGTAGATGACTTACTAGGTATGTGCATGCACATTTCTACTCCTACAGTTTTATTACCCGGACCCCCGCCCTCCCCCACCACCCACCCCCCAACCCCCCCCCAAGGGGCGCCCCAGACGCCCTCTCGGACGTCTCGGCGGCCCCCGGGACGCCCTTGGAGAAGGTCCGCTGGCCCTTCCGGGCCTCCCAGGGCGCCTTACCGGGCCCTGCGAGCAGACGCGAAGCGATCAGAAGGGTCATCGGGGAGGCGCAAGAGAGACCCAAGACAGCACAAGAGCGCTCCAAGACGAACTTCGATGGTCCGACGACGGCCCACGAGACCCCCAAGACGCCCCAATAGGCAGTTAAAGGAGCCCCGAAAAAAGCAACACACCGTCCCATTCCTTTAGGGATATATATATATATATATATATATATATATATATATATATATGTATATATATATAATATATATATATGCTCACACCCCCCCCAAGATCCCTATTTTCCGTGCTCTGTTCTGCTTTCCTCTCTTCGTCCTCCTCCTCTTTCTCATCCTCCTCCTTTCCCCCCCCATCCTCTCCCCTCATACTTTCTCCTCCTTTTGCTCTATTCATATCTCTCTGGTCTTCCTCCTCCTCCTCGTTCTCATCCCTGTCCTATCTTTCTGTTTCTGTACTTCCTGGATTAATCCAGGGCTCGGCGGTTTAATCCACCTCTCCTTCCTCCCTCCTCCCTTCCCTCCTCCTAGAGAGGGGAAGCACACTCGGTGCCCTTCCGCCAATCCGTTTCGGCGTCCAGGGACCGTTTTCGGGCCCCAGAACCATCAAAAACGACCCAGAGCGAAAAACCATCCCAAGGAAAAGGGTGTGGACCTCTGGGGCCGCGGATTTCCTCATGGCTCCAGGCGATTCCCCTTTTCCTACTCCTCCTCCGCCTTCAACTTCTCCCCCCCCCCTCCTCCTACTCGCCCCACCCTGTCCGTAGCCATCATCGGCTCAAGTTGCCCCCGCGCGGGCTGATCCGAAGATTTGTGTCGAAGTCTTACAGCAGGTATGAACACCTCGATTGCGGTATCTGGTCGTGTTGTGTTGACCCGTGATGGTAAACGGGCGCGCCTGGATTTGAGCGTTGGCAATCCGTCAGAACCCTCGGGCTCGGCAGCTGCTGACATCATCCGCCTCTTGGAGCCGGCTGCCCCTTCGGGGCCGCCCGTTGCCCCCGTGCCGATCGCGGGCCGCGTCCGCCCGCGCGCTGTGGATGTTATTGGTGACGTGAACGCAGGGCGCTTGACCGTGCACCCGTCGAAG